TAGAGACATTCATTGTTTAGCTTATACGAACAGGAAAACACGCCAATGTTTGACTAGAGACATTCATTGTTTAGCTTATACGAACAGGAAAACACGCCAATGTTTGACTAGACATTCGTTGTTTAGCTCATACGAACAGGAAAACACGCCAATGTTTCACTAGAGACATTCATTGTTTAGCTCATACGAACAGTAAAACGTGCCAATGTTTCACTAGAGACATTCATTGTTTAGCTCATACGAACAGGAAAACACGCCAATGTTTGACTAGAGACATTCATTGCTTAGCTCATACGAACAGGAAAACACGCCAATGTTTGACTAGAGACATCTAGTGGTTAACTCATACGAACAGTAAAACGAGCCAACGTTTGACTAGAGACATCTAGTGTTAGAAGCTTCAAAAAAAAAAACTCTTCCTCTTTTAGTTGCTACATGCAAACAACATTAGGATTTTAAAAGTCAATTAGCTACGATCATCATGATTTTTTTCTTGCATCACACCTTTTCACTTTTATAAATCAGACCAAAGTTGTTCTTTTCTTCGCCACTTCCAATTTTATTGTAATTTAATCACTGCAGCTTTTGAATGACATGTCTTTTGAAAATTGTGAGAAAAAGAAAACATTTAAAGTTTCAACAACATCGGGCGATTAACTAAGGCATCTGTTCTTTTAACATTTTATATTATTGCTTTGTTTATTGTTAAACACAGAGTTACACGATGGGCTACCTGTGATATATGTAAACCTAAAATAAGACCCAAAACTCGACCGCTTTCGAATAGTTGACTATTCTTCTTCAAGAGAACAATTTTACTTTATCGCCATCTATTGGGTGTTTATAGAAAATAAACGAAAAATGTTTCCGTAAGCCTAAATGGAGAAATTCATTTCGCCAAGGCGTTGTAGAAAGTCATCCAACAGAGTAAGCCTTATGTCTGATATTTAAAATAACCAGAGCTGTCGCTAGTTAACTCTCCTTCAACGTTTAGATAAGGGATAAGATTGTTTTATTTTTTTTTAATTTTAATAGTTCAACTGGAATAGGGTTTTATAGAATAATAAGTTGACGGCTGCTTCTACGTTTCAAACATACACAATAATTTATTGTATAAAGTTAAAAAAAGCAAGAATAAAAAGCTAAAAAAACACCCTCTAGATGTTCCAGTGGGACATGTTCCGCCATCTTTGGGAGACAAAAATTTATTTATATACCCTGTAAATTTACAAAATTTACTTCAATGGCACAAGGACCCAAATCTCTATTCAAAATCATTATTTTTAACATGTTTTAACTTTACTTCTTTAAATATTTTAGAGTATCCCAATCAATAACACGTGAAGAATTCGCTACATGTTTTGTTTAATTTATCAACGGCATTTTTTATGTTCTCTGATTCTAAACATATACATAGATATATACATACCACATTCATCCTTTAATTTTGTCGTTCACACCATTAATAATATGAATTAATTTTAATTGATGAGTAAAGGTTATTTGACAACCCGTAATTTTCATTAACACATTACCCATTTCTATTGCCAGTGATGGAACGAATGGCAAACAAATTATTTCCTGGTCTTAAAACAGTTGTTATAAAGACTGCTTTGAAGTGTTTATCGAGTGTCCTTCGTACTTGCTTGCAATAATTAGTACACGGTCCTTTTATAAATATCACATTACAATAACGTTCTTTATTGGAGTAACACCTCAAGGGACAATATCATTCTGTTCAGAGGTTTCGGGTGCCAGTGTTAGCGATAAATTTATAAAGGACAATTGTGTTTTTTGTAAATATTACTTGAAGATGTGAGTCTTGCTGAAAGGGGACTCGACATACAGGACAGTGTTAAGATGTGATTCCTGCCGTCAGGGGACTCGACATACAGGACAGTGTTAAGATGTGATTCTTGCCGTCAGGGGACTCGACATACAGGACAGTGTTAAAGATGTGATTCTTGCCGTCAGGGGACTCGACATGCAGGACAGTGTTAAAATGTGATTCTTGCTGTCAGGGGACTCGACATACAGGACAGTGTTAAAGATGTGATTCTTGCTGTCAGGGGACTCGACATACAGGACAGTGTTAAAGATGTGATTCTTGCCGTCAGGGGACTCGACATACAGGACAGTGTTAAAGATGTGATTCTTGCCGTCAGGATAGTGTTGGAGATGTGATTTTTGCAAGACTGTATTGGCGTCAAGTTTAAGTCAATTTCCCTGGTGTGTTGCTTCTGAACACACGACATTACTGGCAAATTAGCTGGATGTTCTGGTTTTGAGAATTATTTTTCAAATAATTCCAGTATTATGACGTTTGAAAAAAAGTCAGTTTTTTTTTTATCACAGCCTGTGACCAGAATTCGGGGTCTGTTTCTATATGTTCATCAGTCTAAGTTCATCACCCACTTTCTCGAAACAAGACTGATCATCGAGTTTTTTTTTGTTATCTCTTGCACAAGGTGAGAGTTTAATTTCCACACAACCATCTACACAAAAGTTACAACTGAAAGTATTATCACCAAGGTTTATCTGTTGAATTTATCTGCGCTAGCCGTTCCTAATTTAGATGTGATAAACTAAAAGGAAGGCAGCTACTCCACACCAACTTCTACCAACTCTAGGATTACTCTTTACCAAAGACAAATTGAATTGACCATCACATTATAATGCCCCCTCAGCTGAAAATAGCGAGCATGTTCGGTGATGGGATTGCGAGTCGAGCGCCCTAGTCAATAGGATTATCACCAAAGAAAGAGAAATCTGGATTAATAATAAGCCCACTTTGGTTTACCTCCAAACTGTCACGTTGTTCTGACACGACCCGTGTATATCCAAACAGATCGCTTTACAACGAAATGCTGTCACACATCGGGCTCTAAATCTCTACCATTATTTACCCCCAAAGTCTGACAGATCGCTTTACAACGAAGTGCTGTCACACATCGGGCTCTAAATCTCTACCATTATTTACCCCCAAAGTCTGACAGATCGCTTTACAACGAAGTGCTGTCACACATCAGGTTCTAAATCTCTACCATTATTTACCCCCAAAGTCTGACAGATCGCTTTACAACGAAGTGCTGTCACACATCGGGCTCTAAATCTCTACCATTATTTACCCCCAAAGACTGACAGATCACTTTACAACGAAGTGCTGTCACACATCAGGTTCTAAATCTCTACTATTATTCACATCCAGCTTGTGTTCTAACTATTAATGTATTTTCAAACTATTCTTTAGTTACTTTGATGTCTTCAACTACGTGTTTATAACACTACAGAACCTCTTCCTTTGACATGTCAAAATAAATTTCGTTTCTAAAACTTCAGTTTGATAATTTGGTGAGATTGATGTCGGAATGTATTGTGTTGAAATTTCAGGTATAAGAGAAAGAATAGCTGGCTTAGTTCCGCTAGATTCCAGAACGCGGAAGAATGTATTAAATATTTCTTTAGAGGGTTCCAATGTTTCTTCAGTTTCTGCATTCTTTGTGCTGATACACAAACTGTTGACTGTGTTGCCAAAATATCTTTCTCATTTTTAGCTTCCCAAAAATCAGGATTTTACATTGATTTGTATTCAAGCTTTTGCAGTCTTGTAGGCAGAAGCCTATTTTGCGGTTTTGGCATTTGTAGCTTAACTTTTATAATGTGTTAAATGGAAAACAACATAGCTACAATCGTCTCCAAGTCCAGCCATACAGTTGCAAGAAACTGCTGTGGACACATCCTTTTCTTGTTTGTGGCAATACCCGGATGTTGATATTATTAGGAACTTTCTCTTCTCAAGTCTCGACTAATATGTATTTAAAATGTCTACATGCCGAAGTTTAGTTTTAAAGAATGAGAGAACGTATATTTGGGATTTTTTTCTAATAAGAGCAGAAATCATTTATAAAGTCATTGTTTTAATAAATGGATAACATTTTGATGATGTTAACGGTAAACGACGTGGTTCGCTATTTTGTAGTAAACTTAAAAATGGTCAGGAAATAGATGTGTTGCATTTCACACATGATATCTGATCAATATGTAAAGATATGTGGATAAAATTATCCAAAACAAAGTTTTTTTTACGTACAAATTATAGCTAGTCACCGAGTGGCGCTGATTGCACCATGTTACCGTGTTGTTATAAAGAAGCTTGCGCGAGTGGAGTTCAAAAACTCATAATTTTAGTACAGGTTAAAAAGTTGGGTTTAGGTTACTATCATAGAGTAGCGTAATAAAGGTATGACTGTCAAATTTGGTTTGTCGTATGCGTTATTCCTGGAGATAGCAAGCCTAAACAATAGTTGTAGGTCTACCAGTGTACCATGCAACAACAAAGACGTAGAACTAGAAGGCGAATATGGCGAGAGTTCGTTGTAAGGATCCCCACGTGGAGGAAAAGGGCGGGAAGTTTAAAAATTTAGTCGTTGAAAAGAATTATAAAAAGTAGGGCTAAGTCGTTTTCGTGCCTTTTGGATATATCGTGGTAAGGTGGCGACTGAACACGCATGTAATAAAATATACTAATTCACATAAGTTATGTGAACCATAAGGATTTAAATTTATTAATAATTAATACCGTATACATATTTAATAAAGCAAGACACTTTCTATAAACTTACGTGTAATATGTGTTTATTAGAGTTATTGAAAATTTGCAAATTACACGTTTTTAAGACATATTTGATTTTTTGAGAAAGGCGTCGTATGATTGTGTTATTATTAATATTAAAATATTTACTATATTACTTTAAAACTGGCTTATTGATAGAAGACAGTATTTATAGTTTTATTTTTAATTTACCGTTGTGTGGCGCTTTAAACAAAGATTATAATATATCATTGTAGATTTAAGCACGGTAAAGATCTAACTTGTAAGTGTAATATACTAATAAGATCCAAGATTTAAAAGGTTTTTCAGTGTTTCGTGATTTCAATCAATTTTTTTAGAATTCCAGAAAAGGTCAATCCAAATAGTATTATATATTTAGTTACTATTTAGAAGTATAATCCTTCCTATCAAACGTAGCCATTTCAAGGACTTCTAGCAGCCAAGCCAAACCCACCAAACGCAAGGCCTAACGGGAAATAACAGACCATCGCAAAATGGCGGGAGATCTAATTCGTTATGTAATTATTTTGCTTGTTACATCTGCAGTTTTCACAGAAGGTAAGTGTTTTACCTTCAGATAAAACAACAGGACATGAAACTGGATTCACAAACTACATTAATATCGACAAGTTTTTGGTTTTTTATACAAGGTGCCACAAAATATTGGACAAGAAAACCTCATCGACAGTGGTTGGAGGAAGACTAATTAATTGGATTGTAGCGTGGTTAGATGGAAAGGAAGAGAATATTATTATTAACAGACTGGGCACTTGTTACTCGTTAAATACCTCATGGGCCGGTGCTTTGGCCCTTGACTTTTCTTTTTTAAGCTAATTATAAAGAGAATTAACAAAGTTTGCTGACGACTTTAACTTAGGCATTTCTGTCTGTATTGAGGATGTTGAGATGTTACAGAATGACTAGGAACAATTAGAAAATTGGATGAATACTTCGAAAAATACATTTAAATAAAATAAACTCGAGGTAATACGCGAGGGTTATCACAATTTGTATTACACGTTTAACATTAATGGAAGAATTCTCAACAGCGTGACTGAAGGAAATAATTTTAGCACAGTTATATATATAAAATGAGAGGTATAGCTTCAAAACTATTATGTCAATTACATTAATTGTCAATAGGCGATCAAGATCAGCACTATAAAACAATAATGAACTTAATATAAATTCAAAACTATTTAAAAAACAAAACAAAAAACTCGCATTTTCAGGTAGTTGTCTAAAAACCATAATCGAGATTGCCTGTGGTATTAGGACCCAAAAGCATTGGGGATATCCCATCTATCAAACAAAATCCAAAAAGCAGATGAGAAACCAGTCAGCAGTTGTGT